ACTGCTGCTGCTGCCATAACCACCGCCTCCAAAACTACTTCCACCACCATAGCCACCACTGCTGCTGCTGCCATAACCACCGCCTCCAAAACTACTTCCACCACCATAGCCACCACTGCTGCTGCTGCTGCCATAGCCTCCACCTCCGGAGCTGCTTCCACCACCATAACCACCCTTACCAAAGCTTCCGCCACTACTGAAACCTCCAAAACTACCACCACCACCTCCTACAAGTCCTAAAAGAGTAATGCCACCACTACCACCACCACCATAACCCCCTCCTCCATTGCCACCATAACCACCTCCTCCACTGCCACCGTAACCACCTCCGCCGCCAGTAGCAAAGGAAACGGGGATGGCTAAAAGTCTGATTTTATGTCCACCGCCACCAAATCCACCTCCTCCAAATCCGCCGCTACTTCCACCATAGCCACCACTGCTAATTCCTCCACCACCGTAACCACCACTGCTAAAGCCTCCACTGCTTCCACCGTAACCACCACTGCTAAAGCCTCCGCTACTTCCACCATAACCACCACTACTAAAGCCTCCGCTACTTCCGCCGTAACCAGAGGCTTCAGCCTGGAGATCATCCGATTTCGCGGTTTCACTTGCTTTTACGGTTTCCTCAGCTTTCGAAACAAAAATCAGGATGCTCATAGAGAGCAATATAAACTCCTGAAAGAAACATTAGGGAAATATGTTGACGTGAAAAATATAATGAGTTGATAGAATGTTTGTGTTACATAAAACTATATTTTGTTTTATTTCTGTGAATTAGACACGTTCAACATTATTACGTTTTAAACTACTTCTTATAATTATCCTAAACGTTTATCAAGGCGATTAAAAGGGGGAGGGAAATAAAGAAAAATGAATTAAGAGAGAAGCAGGTAAGACCATTAATGTGTAGTTATTATATTATTATATGCTCGTGCCTCGATTCTATTTGACAGCGTCCAGAATCCCCAGTTCGTGGTCTTGAAAATCAGGATAGAAAACCATGATTGATATCATACTGAAACGCCAAAACTTCCCGCGTCTATGGGCCAGAGCCCCGAATCTCTAAACTACCTATGAACAATTTATATGTTTTTATGAGGCTTTCTTGAAGTTCTTCAATATAACTTTTACCTTTTTTGGAAAAAAACGTGTTTTTACTTTCCTTCTTTCAAACGTATTGCTATTACTCTTAACTAATGATGCAACTTGAAATTAATATTTAGGTTTAGTTATGAACTTTGGTGTGAGACTAATATTTTTCCGCTGATTAAAATATAATATATATAAATGCCTGTTGCCATTTTGTGTCTGTCAAACCCTCGTACTGTGAAATGTTTTTAACTTAAGTTACATCATTCCTGCTGAGTTTTTGAAAGTTTATCTGAAAAGTGCTTTTATCTTCTAAATGTGTGATTGTTTTTCTTTTACGATGAAGGAGGAGGGGGGGGGGGCTTTAGTGTTGATCAAAGTTGGAGCCCCCGTTTTTATGGTTCTTTTACAAAACTGTAACCCAACCTATTTTTTGACGGGTGTGGCAAAACAAATCCTAGCGCTTATTGTTTGATCACAGTAGATCTACTTGTCCAAACTCTAGGGTTTTATGATATGTTTTTAATGTGATCTACCAAGTTTTTAGTTTGTATAACTTGTTTTTAATCTAAAATAAATCTTTCGGTTTCTACATTTTATAGGATGTATGTAAATAACTAGGAAATTAAAATCAAGATAAGCATTGATAATTGAGAATATTCACGACATCTAGAGGTACAGATAATTAATTTTAATATATATTTTTAAGACATCTCTGCGTCAACGAATCTTTTCTTCTTGAAACCCGTGAAAAACTAAACAAAAGTCTGTACTAAATACTATGTACAATTTTCCCTTATCTCGTTAGTTTGTTCATAGCGATAATTGGTCATTTTTTGGAGCTTCTTAACTCTCACATAAATGAAAAACAAGGAACGTTTTTTATCATTGGATTAAAAATTAGGACAGACAAGGTTGTGTTCTAACCTTGTGGGTGTGAATCAAACAACTATTATTGGTCCACTCAGGTTTTCTCTCGTTTTATTGAGTAATAAATGAGGGTAGGAACTAAAAATACGAACTTTGACGTCATAAGCGTTGCACGCTTATACAGACACGCAAAAAAATTACCAAGTGTGCGGCGCTTCTTTGTTCCATATATGTGCTCAAGTCACGTGCCTTATGTGGGAATACAGACAGTGCTTTTTCTACGCCTGTAACCTAAATTCAGAATCATATAAATATTGGACTGTGACATCTTAGTAGCAGTCAGAAGACAGTTCTTATCTGTAAACAGCGAAGATGCTTCCTAAGAAGGTAAGTTTCCTGCATCTCTTTGTAAGATAAGATAGATATACGACTAGCGCCCCATCTATTAATAGTAATCTACACTACACACCATCAGATATTCATAGACTGGCACACAGGGTTAAAAAATAGAAAATAAACTGTTAAATGAGTTGCTAAATACACGAAATAACTACCAAAAAATTGTCTTGGAATATTAGTTACAAAAACTTAATGATCCAACCGTAACGAAAACGTTTGTGAATATGTAAAATAACGTGTAGGACATTAGAAAACAATTTTTCGAATCTGTTCACATGTATTAAATATATAAGCTAGTTATCCTTTGGGAAGGATCCGATCTTCTGTGTCGCTTAGCAACAAACTATGACCTGATATCATTGTCTTTAGTATGTATATAATACTTCGAACGTTCACGACTTGTAGATAGAATTCCACTTTTTTAGATCATTTTAAGTGTTTCTTTATGCATATACTTAGTTTAACATAGACATTTCTCAGTTCTTGGCGAGTTTTAAAAAGACTTAGGTTTGAGCTCAGTGTCCATAATTCCAGAGGCGTCTCTTGGGCTAATCTTGAGTTTTCCTGCACATGTAGTATTTGTTTAAATTTGGTACGTAAATTTTTCAGGAGAATAACTTTGCTAGCCATTTGGGTGGCAGTAAAACTCATAAAACAACCTTTATATATATACTCGATATTTTCGTTATTTTTAACTTGAAACACAGGAAGAATATTAAACTATCCCAAAACCATCTGTAATTAACAAAATAAGAAGAAAAAAATAAAATTCTAACTAATTCTCATATTTAGTGTCAGTTTGATTAATGATCGACGAACGAGTCTTGATGGGATACAATTATTCTAATTCTTATTATAAATTCAATAGTTTGTCAAACATCATCAACATTTTAATATTATCATTTATACATTGCTACTAGTGAATCGAGGCTTCTCGGCATCACTCTTTTTATTCAATTTTTTTGTCAGTTTTTGAAGTTACTCTACGGCTATTTACCAAAAGCCCTCACTAATTTTGAACTAGAAGACTACAGAAAAAGTAGCCAGTCAATCCTTGGCTACTCCCGTCTCTTCGAATAGTGGGATTTCAACACCACTTACTGTTGGTGCATCCAAGGCCATAAATAGCTGATTATTTTATTAATTGTGACTGGGCCACATCTATTTACAGATTTGATAGAAACAAGAGGGAATCCGCGATGGTCGCGGCACTTGAAATTCTTTCAGGCAGGATTAGAGTAAACTAGACCAACGTGACCCGTTGGGTCAACCACTATTCAGAGGTTATAAAGAATTCAAGCTAATTTCAATATTGCACCGAAATGAAGGCTTATTTTGAAATAATTTAATTAAATATTTCAATCCATTCGTGTTATTCATAATTCAAGAAAAGATATTTGGATTGTTGATCGGGAGTAAAAGGAAAGACCGTTTCATTTTTCAAAAAAGTAAGAAGATTCGTAAATAGCGCGAATGGTAGTGTGAATGATTTTTTGACTGAGTAAATAAGCAAACAAACAATCTTATAGTTTTAGTAGTATATAAACAGATTCTTCAAGATCTTTTTTTTTTTTTTGTCATCTTACGCCTTTTAATGAAGATTGGAACATTGACATGAAAATAATATAAAAGCCAATGCTCGGCGAGAGG